TTTTTTTTTTTTAATCTTTTTGGGTGGGTCCAGAGCTGGTGTCGGGGGTGCCCATCCCCGGGCCCTCGCACCCTCACCGGGGCCCCGGGGCTGGGGCTCGACAACCCTGATTGCATCGCCTTCTCACCAAAGCTGCTTCTGCTAGCTGGTGTCATGCCGAGGCTGATATTGAGCAAGCCTCACCAGCATGGCGGGTACGCCTTTTGCAATGGATTTACAACAATCATGTTTCCAAGGCGGACATGCCAGCTGACATTTGAGAGCTTGAACGCCTCATCCGGAAATCCCAGCAGACCCGCCAACATTACGCAGCTCAAACTCATGACCCATTTACTAACCATATCAAGGTCGTACATGTGCATGAAGTAGTTTGTGCAATGAGATTGCACAATCTGTTACAATTTTTTACCAGCAAGAGCTGAATTGCATTATTACCCTCAAGCAGCCACAAATGTTCGCGTTTGTGAAAAACTGATGCCACCCACACGTGTTCAGTTTTAGTAACTTTACTGAAGCAGCCTTAAGTATTGCTCATTGCATAACCTTACGCAACTCTTTGCACCCTAAACCCTTAAGCAGCCATGAATGTTCGTGTTCGTGACAAACTGATGCCACATACACGTTCAGTTTTGTAACTTTTTCCGAAGTAGCCTTCTTAAGTATTGCTCATGGCGTAACCTTATCCAAATCCTCAAACAGCGATTGGCGCAGAGCCTTTCTGCAGTGTCCAGATCCTGTTGGCAGAGAGGGAGAAAGGACAACAAATGAGGGGCTGTGACAGACTGTTCCGTCGGGGTTTTGAAACTTCAACGAAACAGTCTGTCATAGCCCCTCATTTGTTGTCCTTTTTATTCCCTCTGTGCCAACAGTTCACTGGTCAGTTCTATATTCAACATTATACATGTGACAAACTGACAATATATTCCAAATTACTTCAGGTGACACCCTCGACGAGGTGTTCTCCAAAGGGGAAAAAACAAAAAAAAAACATTTCTGGAGGCATGTACGTACCATAGCAGTATCTCAGGAGAAATATTAATACATAATGTATTTGGGGGAAACTACGAGGGAGTCACAAAAATGAGTCATAATTGCACTACGGGCCAGGATACAGTTTAGAATTGCAGTTCGGGCAATGTATACAGCCCAGCTTTCTGGCCAGGTAGGGTGCCCGAACCCGGAGTGCAATTGCAAACTGTATCTTGCCCCACAGTGCAATTGTAACTCGCTTTTGTGACTCTGCTGAAGTTGCCCCTAAATAATAATTGGATGAACGCCTAAATGACCTAAATGACCCAAGGGCAGTGCAATCTGTTATCTTTGCTGCAAGTCGAGAGGATAAGAGTGGAGGACAACTGAGAATATAGGGGCTCGTTAGACACTCCTCGGGCGCATAAATCCCCCGAGGAAAATTTCCTGGATGAAAACGAAAAAAAAAAGTGGAAACATTTCCTTGGGGAATCCTTGGGGCGTCCTCGGGCTACAGCCATTTGGTGGCATTCCTCAAGGGACCTCCCGAGGTCCCTGGAGGGTCAAGGATCCGCGATAATCGGAGTGGCGAGGGCACCCGTCGTCGGCAATAATTTTCTGTCAGCTGGTCCATTGGAGTTCCTACCGGGGAGCGCACGGACATCTTGGGTCTTCAACGTTCGGCTTCCAGGAACCTTACGCCAACGGTAACCGTTGGTGGCCGGTCGGCCCCC